TCATTCCTCAGTACTACATGTTCCTTGAGGAGCTCTATGTAGCTCATCCTTTGAGCTAGGAATAAAGTGAGACCCATGGAGATACTCAGAGCAACCATAACGCTCATTCTGCTTGCTGGCGTTCTCCAAGTCATTGTTACGGATGCACACCAGAACAATACAGGTCAATTGTGATCGCTCTCCATGGAGTAGAGTGAGGTTTATTTCAATCAGATTGAACTCGGATGGTCCGGGAGACAGTCATGGGGACCACTTCCTAGAGGGAAGTGCACCAGGAAAACGTTGCGCCCTTCGTCTTTTCACCCTTGAATCTGCTGCTGTAGGACTTCAGCAAGCTGTTGTGCTGAGTGGAAAACCCCAAGGGCAGGATAGTGGGATCTGCAGATACAGGGATTTATCAAAGCGAGAGGAAGACTAGTTCATCATAAGACTCTTAGGCTTGATCATTTTAATTTCTATCGTTTAGTTTTCGTTACTTACAGCCTTTCGGAGGCTGCGGATAAATGTGCTGAAATATTTGTTGTGGAAGAGCAAAGACATCTATCTAGAGCTCTCTAGATATACTAGTGACCCTGAATGTCTTCAGATGCTCATTAGGGATGAAGCTGTGCTCCTTAGGCATCGCTGGATCTGGAAGGAGCTACGTTATTTTAAAAGGAATTAAACATTCAGGTTAGCAGACTTTCCACTTGCTGCAGTTGCTGGCTGGGTGCTTGGGATAGACTTTTTATTTTGGGATGTTGCATTGCATCAAAGTCGGTGAAAACAAAGGGAAATTCTTTCCCGATCCTGCTTTTCTGTGGAAGCTGCAGCAGTAGGTGCCATGAGGAGATTCTACACGTTGGACTTGCAAAGTTTCTAACGGAGCGGTGCCTGCTCCTGAACAGCTCTTAGTGCTACTGCCGTATAGACAACCGCAGGGAAAGTTGGCACGTCTGAGGTGACTGGAGGCAATGAGCACATCACCTAACTGGTTGCTACTTGTCAGATGAGAGATTTCTCTCCTTGGGAATTGCTGGCATTACCTCACAAAATAGATGGTGTTCATGTTTTTGGGCCCACTTTCTGACTATCTTGGGCAGAAGATTCCTTCCTCATGGATATCTGAGGAATGGGGAAACATCAGTTGTACCTCAGAAGCCTTCCCAATGTATAACAGTGTGGGGACAGGCTCTGTCGGGTCCTACCACATGATTGCGTGCAACTGGGGGCACATTCCTGAACCACACAAGGTCCAAATGCTGGGATGCTAAGCACGTCACCTTGGTTCTTAATGCCAATATTTCAAAGACTAAGCTCCATTTTTTGGTGTGGAAAATCTTTCTCTGCAGTTTTCCTTTTAATAAAGGCTATTGCTTTGCAGTGCCAAAAGTCCTGGTGGCTGAAAACACTGTCGTCACAGGGTGGGGGCCATGCAGCAGCGCGCACGTGTGCGCATATAGGTTATGCCCTTTTCAAAGGACCGTAACAAATAACTAGTATTAGGTGGGGAACATCTTTTGCTTTTTCTTTCTGTTCTCATTACTGAGTGTTCTTTCTTTGGTGCACGTCCCCCTTCCATGCACACAACTTTTTCCCCGATTTCCTACTCTCTAGCATTACTCCCAATCTTTGCTCTCACAATTATTGCAAATGTTGCTCTTAGTGGCCAGTTCCTTATTACTTGGTTATTCCCAAGAGGCTTTCTTAGCAGCTCTGTTTGACTATTTAGTTACTGAATGCAAGTCTCCGTGTTTTCACTCATAGGCTTGCTTTCTATCGCTCACTGATTCTCAGTAATGTTGTTTGTGGGAGGCAGGCTCTGCCCCTTCTAACAGAGTTGCCTTGGCACTTGCATGTCCCATGGCATTGCCAGCCCCCGGTAGTGTCTTGCCTCCCCGAAAGTGAGAGGACAAAAATGCGAGCATGTCCCATTTCATCCTGCACCTCTGGAGGTTGTTTGGTATTTAGGAGGCCTATCTTTAGTCCTTTAAATAAAGGACTGAGAAGGGGAGGGAGGGACCCTTAAGGTTATCCTCAGAAGGAAATAGAAATCTGCACTCAGGTGCACTCCATAATTTGGTGTCTTGGGCAGTCGCTTGCCTGGGAAGTACGGTCTGACCTTGCTGCCCGTAAGGCTGTGGTTACCTCTCTGGAAGGAGTGGATGCAGAGAGCAGAACAGTAAGAATGCATAACCTCGTCCCGGCTGTGCCGGGCCCTTCTGGATGACTTGGACAGTCTGTTACTTCTCAGCACGTCCAGGCTTGTCCCCTGCTGCTTGTTGAAACAGGGCCTGCTTTGATCTCCAGGGAGGGAACGGGCTCCGTACTGAAAATCAGCCGGCAGCGCTCCACGCTCCACAGCTGTGCCAAGAGACACGGAGAAGTGCAGGTGAACCGCCGTTCTCCAGGGCAAGTGGCGTCACCCTGCCAAAGGGAACGCTGCGCCCTTCACCACCGCAGGAGATCAGCTGGGGCACATCCCGCATCACGCAGCACCAGGACCCTTTACACTGGCGTTTCAGCCATGCTGTCGTTAACTTTGTGCAGAAGAGGCTGGTTCCTGCTGCAAGGTGTTGTTTGGAGCTCTGGGTTTGGTGGGACAAACGACACGGCTGGAACCGTTGTGATGAGGGCCCAAGGAGAAAACTTTGCTGCGGGCGGAGGGTGCACGAAAGGATGGCTTTTGTGGGAGAACTCGCATCAAGTGGGCCATGCTTGGAGGATGGCACTGATCTGGAAGCCACATCTTGCAGAGGAAGAAGCTCTGGCCGAGAAGGTGCAGCTCCAGCCGTGGTAGGACAGGAGCTGAAGGAAGCCAGGCTGGTCTTTTACTGGAGCTCCTGTAATAATGTGGTCCTGATTTTGGCTTTGGAGAGTCTGCATGCTGCAGAGCTGCAGGGCAAGCTGCCATACGGGAATGTCAGCAGGTAGCAAGGAGCGTTAAACCTGGCAGAGCTACGCCATATCTCATCAGCCTTTCCCAGAGCTTGGTGCACATAGGGTGTTTCTGGTGTGCACTTGCCATCCTACTCTCTCCACATTGACCTCAGAAGATTGCTGTCAACTTGTAGAATTGCTTTGAATCTATCTTCTAATATTTTTCCTCCTCCATGATATCTTTCCCATATTTTTACTTCTCCCGTTCTTTTCCTCCAAAGACATCTAACTGCCAACAGTATTTTTCCTGTCTCAGCCCAAGTAGGGGTTGGATTTTCTATAGCTCCACAGGGAAATTGTCTTTGCATCTTACCCTTGCTTTTGTTATCTGGGTTATTTTCTTCCTTGTTAGCTATGGAGTGAGGGACACCGCTTTGGATTGGGGGAAGGAGATGGTTTGTTTTGGGCTGTCGCCTTTGGCAGTGGTCCCAGTTCTGTTGGGTTCAGCGCTGACTGGATAACTTCCTATCAAGTTATCGGCCCTTCTGGTTTTTCACAGAAGGCTCTGGGCAGACAGTCCTTTTGCCTGCAGAACTACATCATGTCCACAAAAATCCCCTGGGGACACTGCAGTCCAGCACCATGCGGCGTGAAAGAGATGATAGTAGCGAGCATTGAAATTGAGATTTGTTGGCAGGGTTTGCTGAATTTTGTTCTCGGTGAACAAAAAAGCATTGCTTTAAGCTGAGACGTTGGCAACTTGGGTGCCATAAAAGACGTCTTCAGCTTCAGTGCTGTAAGTAGGATGCTTTCTCCATTATTTTTCTTCCCCCTGCCTTCCGTTTGGCAGTTGGCAGAGAGAGAAAAACAATATGATTTGCCTGCTTTTGCAAGTTTTGAGGCAGAGCGTTATTTTAGTCTCCCGCATAAGTCTTTCAGCTGATTCAGGGCTTGCACAAAAAAAAAAAAAAAAAGTGATTGGAAAAAATCGCGTGATCTCTAATCCTCCTTTAAAGATTCCGAGCTAGATGTCTGTTTCTGGTGCTGCGTTTGTTCTTTCGTTATGAATTATCTCGTGTCTTCGTATTTAATTTTATCGCTGGTCATATAAAGTGTATATTTCTCTCATGTTGGCATTGAAATATTTGAATGCGGGTTTTTATACTATTAAATTTTCCATATTTTTTTCCTCTGAATGAAATTTTTATCTCTACTGTGTCATTTTAACTTTTCTACTAGCAGAAGTAGCAAAATAACGCGGAAGGGATAAAACTGAGGAGAAAAAAAATCCGGCAGCTATAAGCTTGATACTTCACTATAGAAACTTCTAGTCCCAGAGCGCAGGAATTTAGGGGCAATTTAACTGAGCATAAAGAACTGAGAATGCCCTTGAACTCTCATAAATATGTTTATTCATGCAGAGTAAACATAAAATTAGTATCTCTGTGCTTGTAAGGTTGCCAGAGGTTGCTGTATTGATAAAGCAAGCGGGGAACCTTTGCGTAGCTCGGAAGAAAGCAAGATGCAATCCTGCCGTGGATGGATACTAGTAAGACAGGAGGCTTTGTGAGAACAGTCACCTTTCATGGCTGGGGTAAGCTGTAGCAGAAGCTGGGAAATGGAAGAAAGTAAAATTTCCTGGAAGTGACGGGATTTCCACACCTTTCTGCTGCTGTGGGCCAGCCTTGCAGCGACTGGCAGGCATACACTGCTTCACCTACGCTAAGCAGACTCCATTTAAGTAAGAATTCTCCTTTCTGTGGAAGTGAAAACATCCCAGCTGCGTAAGGTCGTGGTGTTTGAGAGGTTTGCCCATATGTCCTTTTCCAGCCCTTTGGGACCAAGACACTTTGTTGACCAGGTATCAATTCTGAGGAAACCAGGCGTGTCCATTCAAAATTGGAGTTTGGTGCCAGAAGGCCTTGCTGACTGTGGCTGCAGAAACCCTTTCCCTTACTGAGGTGGTGTATGGAGCTGGTGTTGGACAGAGGAGCTGATGGTAGTCCTAGACCTCTGTTAGCCAGCCTGTCCACCCTGAGCACCCTGCTGGAACGGCTGGCCTTCCCAGTTATTTGAGAGTCCAAAATAAGAGCATGATTTGCATGCACCTTTTGCTAACTCCTGGTCTGTTTTTCCTCCAGCGTACATACCGAATGCCAAAGGATATCCACGTTGAACCGGAGAAGTTTGCTGCAGAGCTGATCAATCGTTTGGAGGAAGTACAAAAGGAACGTGAAGCAGAGGAAAAATTAGAGGAGCGCCTTAAACGCGTTCGAGCGGTTAGTAATCTCCTCGCCTCCCTGTATCAGCTTGGAAATCATTTGCGTGCTGTGCCCATGGGGATCCCTCAGCTGCCATCCGAGCGCACTGGGTGATCGCTTTGCTGCTGTAGCAGCCATGTGTATCACCTACACAGGGGCTCCTGGAGACTCCCCATGCTCCTGGGAGCCTCCAGGGTGCCATTCCCACGTGTGTGTGCAGGGCTCATGAGCTCCGTCACTCCCTCCCTGCTGGAGGATGCCAGTTAGGGCACAGCAGTGCCCACTTCTGTCACCAGTTAGGGCTCCGTGTGCTCCCTGTCATCCTCTTTGCCACGACAAGAGCGCTATGCACCCTCCTGCTCCCCTCCGTCACAGACTTTGTAGGCAATCCCTTCCACACCAGGATGGAGTCTGTGTAACACAAGGGTTCTCCTTCCCCTCCAGGCTACAATTTATGTTCAGATCACTCCATCTATGGAGATTTTGTGTGATCCCTCTTTCCCCGCCGATGGTGAACAGATGGCAAGTGTTACGCTTGGAGGTGTTGGCGTGTGCCAGCAGGCCGTTTCTGCCAAAGCCCAAAGGGTTCCTGTCCATCAGTGCCTAGAACACCCCTAGAAAATTTGGAGTTGATCAGATGTAGCATCCAAAAGTCCTCTAGTGGGCAAAAAAGTGCAATAACTACATGGGTAGCCAGGGACTCCCAGCCCATGGCACTGCATGGTGTAAGCCCTGGTGCTGCTGGGCTGCTTCAGAGCTTGAATACTTGGTAGATTGACCACAGGAGGCATCCAAGGCCTTAGCTCCATAGTGAGCTCCAAAAGATACAGAATGAGGTGTTAGTCATCTTGTGTTACTTGTGCGAGACACCCTGTTCAGCAGTTTTCGTGCCGTATCTTTTCTTCTGAGATGCTATCTCACAGTGTGTGTGTATCGCGTGCAGGGGAAACAGAGTTTTCTGAGGACATCGCAGTGTTACTGAACATCACAGACGTCAGTGTAATTAGAGCCCTATGTGAAAAGGTTGTGGGTCTATCCTTGCTGCCCTGGCTGTGAGGTGAAGGCTCCTGTCTGTGCATAGTAACCCACAGCTCACCCTCCCCAAAGAGGGAGGTGTTTTGACTGTCTCATCTTAGCTCCATGCTTTTAGAGCAGCTGAGTTTCTGGGGCTGCAGTGCGGACCCTTCAGCCCTATTAAAATATTTTTAAATGTTCATCTAGCTACAGTGAAAGAGCTGTAGGTTGGAGTGTTTGCTTTAAATTGCAAAGCAGAGAAGCGAGGGAGGCAGAATAATCTGCAAGCTTTACTCCAGCTCCAAGCGTTGTCCAGCAAACTCGGCGCTCCAGGATCTAGCCAGAGGAGACAAGCTAGGTGCTAGTTTGTGTTTTGATTCCTGTTCTTCTGGAAGCGGTCCGCTTTCCTCTCTGGTACCTATTGCTTTCTCAACAAAGCCAATCTGACTGGCAGCTTTTCCTGTTGGTATGGCCCTGGAGCACTCCTCCTCCTCCTCCTCCTCTTCCTCCTCCCGTGACTGCATTGCTGCCCCCACCTGTACCAGACTACATTATCCCAGCCCTCTGCCTCCTTGCGGAAGCTGCCAGTAGCAATACCATAAAATCAGCAAATACCTATGCGCCAGAGAATAAATTTAAGTCTGTTTAAACACATTTTTGTGTGACTTAATCTATTTCTAAGCCCAGGACTCCCGCTAATGCTATATATTAAACCTCTTTGCTGTCTCCAGAGTGTATTTCATTGACTGGCTGGCATGTGGCATTAGCCATTCAGAAAAACTCTGAGTAAGCAATTGTAGCTTTTTTAGGTCAGCACTTAAGGCGCAGGAGCTGCTGGTATCAGCAAGAGGAGAGCTTGGATCCTGATGCATAGCGGGTTTTTCTCTGTGACCTGAGCACCGGGACTACAGCGTCCTTCCTCCTACCGCGGTTGCATGGCTGACTGAGCAGTGGCACAGGCAAAAACGTAAGGTGTTGGTCACACAGAGCAGTTACCAGCTTAGCAGAGAGACTGGAAATATTTTGCACAAGTTAGGAAAAAGATGTTTTTTCTGCCCTATACTGAGCTGCCTGCGGGTTCCCTTTCAAGGCTGCATCGTGTAGTCGAGGCAAGAGACAGTTGCTTTACAGCCACGTGATTTTTACTGAAAAGTCTGTAAGATTTCTTTTTGAGGAGACCCAACCTCTGAATTCATTACTTCTCCTGAGCTCCGTGGAAGAGGTGGGAGGACACGCGTGTTCCCTGACTTTGTTTTCAGCCACTTCAGCCTCAGGTCCGCGCGTGGCAACCGCAGCATCACGTCATACAGATAGTTCTGTCTTGGTCTGAACTTTGTGATTTTAAAATGCGCCGAGCCTATCATCAGGGGAGCAAAGCCAGTGCTAAGAGCCTCACTATTCGAACATAAAACGTGGCCTAACTAGCGAGGGAGGTTGTTTACGTGACGATTGAAAACGCGCTCGTGTTTAAGCGAGCTGTCTTGGCCCGCCAAGCAGGAGTAATCTGCTAGGTGGCCCTGGCAGAAGGCAGAGCGGGGTTTAAAGCAAGGTGTTGCTTGCCCGTAGCTCCCCAGCGCGTTTCAGCCTCCTCATTCACAGGGCAAGCCATGCCGGAGAGTAAAAAT